AGAAGGAAGAGTTCTCAGAGGAGCTGTGTAAGGAAAATTAAGCCCAAAATTATCTGCTGTGTTGATCATCTTGAAAAGCTGATTACACGTCCCTGTTTAACTCCTCCATCCTCTCCTGTGGAAGATAAAACTTCTTCAACTGTCAAGAGAATACCATAGAAATGTTTAATAATCAAGAAGTTAGTAGCAGAAATATGCAGATAAAGATATCTTCTTAAGAGGATCAAGAGAGGCTTTGTAAATAGTTGACCCTTTAATCATGTCTTAAAGGATGGAGACCATTGTCAAAAGGGACTGCATGGGTAAATTTTCACCTCGAGTAATTAGAGCAGGTGTGGTCTTAGAAGATCATTTATTTGAGCTGGCTGGAGCATAGACAGGAGAATAATAGTAAATATAGTTGGAAAAGTAAGTTGGAGTTTACTTCATGATTTCTGAGTGCATGTAGTACCATCCAAAGCAATATACATTTTATTTAAGGGATAATATTTTAATGTCTGTTACCAAAGTGTGGCTTAAGAGTGGTACTTTAAGTAGAATCCTCTGAGAGGAATAAGTTTGCTAAATTGAATGAGTGGCATTAAGTAGAGAAAATCAAAACAGTTTAGAAACAAGACATTAAAAAGTAACTGGTGGGTAGGTTGTTAGATATCTAGGAATATTTGTTTGGATTTTCTACTTATTTTCTACTATGTATTATTATTTCAAGTTTATGATTGACTAGTGAACATACCATGTGTCACATGCCAAACACCATTCTCGGTGTTGCACATGTAATCTTTTCCTTCATCATCTTAGCAATTTTATGAATAATAATAAATATTTATTGTTATCGATTGTACAGATGAGGAAACTAAAGAGAGTTTAGTAAATTGTCTAAGATTGTACATAAAGAGCGATGAACGCAGCTTTGAAATTAAGCCAACCATGGAGTCAACCAATGATCTTTACCATTGTGCAAAACAACCTTATTAATATTCTACATAGTCCATTTCACTGAAAAAAGTTGATATCTATCCATATGAACCCCACAGTTTTGTGTTTCCTCATCTGTAAAAATATGTATTATAGCACCTTCTCTCCACCTTACCGAGTGTGAAGATCAAGATGACTATACATTGGAAGATATTTTTTATACCCTATAATGCATTATACAAAATAAATCATTTTTCCTAAATCCTGTGTAAACTTCATTTTGTAATCAACACGGAACAAATGTATCATCTATAAAGAGCAGCAGTGAAGAAAAACTCCCAGCTTCTCTTGTCCTCAGTAAAATACATGACTTTCAGAACCCACTGATCCTTACTTCATCCGAATGATGTTTCCTCCAATGTTTATTTTATTGCATCATCTTATTGAAGTGCTGTTCATCATCTATGAACAACATTGAACGCTGGAGCTCCTAAGTAACCCCAAAAGCCCTCATCATCAAGTATGCACAGAAATAGCAACACTTGAAAGCAAATCCTGTTTTTCAATCACAGATAATTGTTTGGCATAAATTCACATAATAGCATGTGAATAAGCAAGCAAATAGACATTTGTGTAGGTAAGTGCAGTTTCATAACTAAAATTATCATATAAAAATATGGTATACTGCAGTGAAAATGGACTTTCAAAAGGTCGAATTCAAATTCTAGTTTCATTTCATTCTGTTTATGTGCTCTTTAAAAAGTTCTTCGAATCCTCTGAGTTTTACCTCTTTATCTGTAAAATGGATAAATCTCTATGCCTAAGGAAGAAAGTGTGAGAATTTGAGATGATATGCGTAAAAACGCCACATGAGGTCAGTGATGCCACAGCGAGGGCCGTAGTGTTTACACTGGTGTTTTAACAGTTTGCACTACAGGATGGAGGGAAAAAGTCCCTTGTGTGTTATACTCATTTATGTATCTGTGAACCAGGCATTCCCGGCAAAAACAATATTCCATCTCTGTGATCCTGATAGCTTTCAGCAAATCAGGAAAAGACCTCACCTTTAAAAGACACAAATCAGCCAATATCAAATTCTAAGGGATTATTAAGACAGAGGAGCAGATGGAAGAAACATAAGGGTTAGTAAGGT